TATGGGGGGATGTTCTGGGGGGGTCTGTCCCTGGGGGGTGTTAGGCCATGGTGTGGGGGGAGGCTGATTAAGGGGATTCTCACAGGACCCAAACCCTGTGCATGTGAGGGAGATCCAGGGGGGCGCCCCATGTGCACATCCCAGGGATGCCCAATGCCCGGGATAAGGGGGTGTCCTGGTGGGGGGGTGTCCTGTGCCACCCTTGGGGGCTCTCCCGTGCCCGAGGGAAGCGCGGGGCAGGCGCACGGACGCGGGATGCGGCCGGGATGCGCAGCGCTGGGGTCCCCGTGCCCGGGGCGGGGGATGCCCTGGGCGAGGGCTGGCGGGGGGGCGGCTCGCGGCGGGGCTCGTCCCCCCCCGTCCGGCCGCTGCCTGCGCCTCATTAGCGGGGCCTTTGTTTGCACAGGGCTCGCGGCCGCCGCTAGCCCATGTCGCCGCCTATAAAGCGGGGCCGGGGCCGGCGGCCGGGCAGAGGCGGCGGCGGCGGCGGCGACAGGCAGCGGGCGGGCCCCCCTCGCCGCCCCCGGCCGCCTGGCTCCCGCGGGCGGCCGGCACCATGCGCGCCGCGCTGGGGCTGCTGCTGCTGCTGCCGCCGCTGCTGCCGCCGCTGCTGCTGCCGCTGCTGCTGCCGCTGCTGCTGCCGCTGCTGCTGCCGCTGCTGCTGCTGCTGCCCGCGCTGCTGCTGCTGCCGCCGCTGCTGCTGCCGCTGCTGCCGCCGCCCGCGCGCGCCGCGCGCCCCAAGCTCGCGCTGCCCATCCGGCCCGACACGGAGCCGCTGCCCCCCGGCGGGGCGCCAGGTACCGGCCCCTCTGCAGCCCCCCGCGCCCCTGCCCGGCACCCCCTCCTTGCGCGCACACCCCCTCTTTGTGCCCCCTTCTGGTGTGTCTTCCCTGCGACCCACCCGCCAGACACCCGCCCCTGCCAGCACCTCCTCCTTGCACCCCTCTCCTTGCACCCCTCCCCAACACCCCCTTCTTGCACCACTCCTTCTTGCACCCCTTCCTTGCCTGCCCTCTCCACACCTCCTCCTTGCAGCCCTCCCCAACACTCCCTTCTTGCACCACTCCTCCTGGCACCCCCCATTCTCGCAGCCCCCCCCAGCACCTCCTTCTTGCAGCCCCATCCCTGCATCCGTCCCCGACAGCCCCTTCTTGCACCACCCCTTCTTGCACCTCCCCCTGGCACCCTCCCCGGCACCTCTTCCCTGCACCCTGCAGCCACCCCCGTGCCCCTTCCCCCGTGAACGCTGCTCTTTGCACCCACTCGGGGGTGATGGGGTGGCTGGGGGGGGTCTCCACAGGCTGCGCCTTTGGGGGGCACTTCTATGCCCTGGAGGAGACCTGGCACCCGGACCTAGGGGAGCCCTTTGGAGTCATGCGCTGCGTTATCTGCCACTGCGAGCCAGTAAGGACCCCCTCACTGCGCCCAGGGACCCCCTTCTCTCCCCACATAGGTGCCCCTGGGCGGGGGGCTGCCTGTCCCACCTCACTCCACACCCCACGGAGAGGGGGGAGGGGATTCCTCCAGCCAGCCGGACACCTGGGCCCCCTCCCCCGGCAGTGGGGAGGAGAAGGGCGRGGGGGTCTTAAAGGATCAGGCTCCATCCCTCCTGCTGCTCCTGGGGGCGGCCCCGGCCCCCCTCCCTGCSAGCAGCCCCCCGAGGCCGGGCTGGGGGGCAGTTGCGCAGCTGGGCAGGGGGATGGGGCCGCGGGGAGGGGGCTGCACACAAGGTGCCTGCGGGCGACTGGTCTAGGGGGCCCTGGGCTGGGCTGGGGGCGCTTCAGCTGTGCCCGGACCCTCCGTGCCTGGTGCGCTGCCAGCCCAGTGCGGGTACCGCCGGCCACCCGGACACCTGGGCCCCGCTCTCCCGGCCTCTGTCCTCCCTCACCCCGCAGCAGAGGACCCGCCGCGGAAAAGCCCTGGGCAAAGTGAACTGCAAGAACATGAAGCAGGAGTGCCCGGTGCCAGCCTGCCCCCGGGCCACGCTGCTGCCCGGCCACTGCTGCCACACGTGCCCCAAAGGTGAGCGGCCCCCGCGCCCGGGGGGGCTCTGTCCTGMTGGATCCATGCAGGAGGTGTGGGCAGCGGGGCCCTTTTTGGGGTGCCCAGGGAGAATCCACACTGGGAGGGGTGCAAAGAAGGGACATGGTGCTGCCCCCGAGGTCCCTGCAAGCTGTGCCCTCCCGGCAGAGCCTTGCAGKGATTTGCAGGGTACATCTATGCCTGCCTAGGGAGGGGGGTTCCTGTTGCCCCCCAGGCAGCCATGCCCAGCAGTGGGAGCAACACTGTCCCCACTGTGCCCGTGCCGGCCTTGCCAGGGCCCCCGGAGAAGAGCCCCGAGCCGCCCTTCGACGCCTTCGAGTACTTCCAGGACAAGGAGGACGAGCTGGACAAGCCCTACAACGACCGCTCCTACCTCAGCTCCGAGGGCCTGGCCCGCGACGACGCCCGCGCCGGTGAGGAGCAGCGCACGCGGGGCACGGGGCGGTGGGGACGGCGGCGCCCGCTCGGCCCCTGCTGCAATCCGTGCCCCCTGCCCAGAGTTCGTGGCCCTGCTGACGAGCGGCGCGGAGCCGTGGCAGCCCACGTCGAGCGCGGTGGCCAAGGCGCGCTTCACGCTGCTGCGCTCCTCCCTGCTCTTCTCTATCAGCTACGAGCAGTGAGTGCCGCCCGCGCGGGTCCGGGTGCCGCCGCGCTGCCCGCACCCCCGTGTCCCCCCCGGGGTGCCCACGTGTCCCCCCGAGATGCCCACCGTGCCGAGCCCCTGCTCGCCCGCCCTCCTTCCCTCTCCGCTTTCTTCTTCTCTTCCTCGCTTCCAGGCCCTTTTTGCATAGTAAAGTGGTGACTAATTTCCAGCTCCGACCGGGAAGCCAAATGGAGCCGAAAACGCTCCTAATTTACAGCCGGGCCCGGCCGCGCGGCTCCCCGCTCCTGCCCCAGGCCGTCCCAGGCGGGGACCTCCCTGCTGCCAGCTGGACCGCGCGCCCCGGCCTCCCTCCTCCTCCTCCCCTTCCTCCCCCACGCGCGGCCGCAGTCGCAGGGCCGGGACGAGGAGATGCGGGTGCTGACCCCGTCCCGCYCCGCAGGCTGGGCCGCCCGAGCCGCGTGCGCTTCAGCGACGCCGAGGGCGCCGTGCTCTTCGAGCACCCCGTGCACAAGAGCAGCGCGGCCGCCGCCGACGGCATGGTGAGAGGGGCCGGGCGCTGCSCTCCGTGCCCCCAACCCGGCCCGGCGCCGTGGGGCGCACGGGGACCCCGGCCCATGTCCCCCCCGCCCGCAGCTCTGCGGCATGTGGCGCCCCGTGTCCAAGGCCAACGTGCAGCTGCTGCGCGCGGAGCAGCTCCGCGTCTCGCTGGTGACGCGCGCGCAGCCCTCCGGGGAGGTCCACGGGCGCATCCTCAAGCACCGCGCGCTCTTTGCGGGTAAGAGCGGCCCCCTGCGCGCCCCCCGGCCCGGCGCCCGCCGCGCCGCCCCTCACGCCCACCCTGCCCGGCTCCAGAGACGTTCGGCGCCGTGCTGAGCTCGGCGGAGCCCGCGCACCTGGGCGCCGGCGGCATGGCCATGCTGACGCTCAGCGACACCGAGAACAACCTGCACTTCATCCTCATGGCCCGCGGGCTGCTGGAGCCCGGCGCCAATGGTGAGGGGCTCTGCCTGGTGGGAGGGTGGGGGTCCGGRGCCCAGCAGGGCTGCAAGAGCCTGGCAGGGTACGTATGGGGTGCGTGTAGGTCCTAGGGGCAAGGGGGGCATATGGGGCAGGGTGTGCAAAGGTGTGCACATGGATGGTTGGGGTGGAGGGGTGCATGGGGTGCACATGGGTCAGGGGGTGCTTAGGGGGTGGGCGTGGGTTGTGTAGGGATTGAGGTTTGCATAGGGGTTGTTCCTCCCTATGCAAGGGGGGCATCCGTATGGGCTCTGCATACAGGTGCGCCTGGCATGCACATGGTGGGCAAGTGGGTATGGGGTGAGTGGGACTGGGCTGTGCATGGGGGTCAGGGCACACGGTGCAGGGCTGCGTGTGTTGGGAGGGGTGAGGACCAAGGTGCAGGAGGGACAGGAGGGCCTGGGAGCCAGAAAGCTGTGGGCTGTATGGGGATGGTGCCCACAAGCTGTGTGTCTGGTGGGCTGGGGAATTGGCCTTGGGGGCACCCACTGTGGTCTTCACCCCTCCCCGCCTCGCCCAGAGTCACCCTGGGTCCCGCTGCGCGTCTGCATCCTGCACCAGGGCCGGGTGCTGCGCGAGGTCCGCACCAACATCACCGTGGAGGTAAGGCCCGTGCGTGAGGCAGCCCATGGCACAGGCCGTGCCCGGGCTGAGCGTGGGCGCCGTGCCCGCCGTCCCTCCCGCAGGAGCCCGACTTCGCGGAGGTGCTCAGCGACCTGTCGGCGCGGGAGCTGCAGTGGCTGGTGCAGGGGCAGCTGCGCATCGTGGCCGAGACGGAGGGCCGGCACCCGCGGCGCCTGGAGGGCACCATCACCACCCGCCGCAGCTGCGACAGTGAGCGCGGGGCGGGCACCGGCGCCGCGCACGCAGCGGGGCTGCCCCCCGTGCCAGCCTGAMCCCCGCCCGCCTTCCCTCCCCGGGCTCCTCAAGCCATCCAGAGCGTGCTGTGCGGGGCGGACGCCTTGACGCCCACCAAGACGGGCGCCGTGGGCTCGGCCAAGCTGGCGCTGCATGAGAACGGCACGCTGGAGTACCAGGTTAGGGGCTGGGTGGGCACGAGGTGGCTGCGGCGCCCACGCCGGCCACGCCGCTGCCCTGGGGTGCACCCTGCCCGCAGGTGCAGGTGGTGGGCACCGCCAGCGAGGTGCTGAGCATCACGCTGGAGACCAAGCCGCGGCGCAAGAACAAGAGGAACGTGCTCTTGGACATGACGCCCAGCTACCGGGACGGGCTGGTGGGTGCTGTGGGGCTGGAAGGGGGCAGGAGGTGCCAATGGGCATCTCCCCACGCCGATGCCGTCTCTCCCGTTGGGCAGGCCCGGGGTGCCTGGCCGAGTCCCAGTGCCCGCGACGCCCACATGCTGCTGCAGAACGAGCTCTTCCTCAACGTGGCCACCAAGGACTGGCCCGAGGGCGAGCTGCGCGGGCAGATCATCTCGCTGCCCTACAGCGGCCTCCTGGCCCGCTACACAGGTAGGCGCGGGGCGGGCGCGCGGGGTCGGGGGATGCGGGAGCCCCGGTGCCCACCACTTCCCGCGGCGCCGTGTGTGTGCGCAGAGCTGCCCGTGGCRCTGGCGGGGCAGCTGGTGTCGCCGGCGGTGGGCAGCGGCGCCGGGGCGCACGCCTGGCTCTCGCTGGACGAGCACTGTCACCTGCACTACGAGATCACGGTGGCGGGGCTGGGCCGCCCGGCCGACAGCACCGTCAGCGCCCACCTCCACGGCGTGGCCGAGCTGGGCGAGCTGGGCGCCCGGCCAACCCACCASCACCACAAGCGCCTGCTCAAGGGCTTCTACAGCAGCGAGGTGAGCGGGGCGCCGGGGAGCCTTCCCCCCGGGGTGTCACCCTCCCCATCCTCCTCACGCGGCCCGGCCCCTGTGTCGCCGCCAGGCGCAGGGGGTGGTGAAGGACCTGGACGCGGAGCTGCTGCAGCACCTGGACCAGGGCACGGCCTTCCTGCAAGTCAGCACCAAAGCCCACCCGCGGGGCGAGCTGCGCGGCCGGGTGGGTACCCGCTCGGCCCTGCGCCCCCCGTGCCCCCTGCCCCACRGTCCCTGTCCCTCTGGGACCTCCTSCACCATCCGCTCCTGGCAGGGGCCACCAGGACTGAGCGGGGTGGTGGCACCGGGAGCRCTGTGCCCCTGGCTGTGCCAACCCCGCTGCCGCCTCCCAGGTGCACATCCCCAACCGGTGCCAGGCTGGGGGTGTCCGCCTGGCACTGGGGGGGCCGCAGGGGGAGGCCGAGTTGGTCGAGGCCTCCAAAGCCCGGGACGTGGAGCAGCTGAAGAAGGACCCCAACTCCTGCTTCTTCGAGGGGCAGCACCGGGCGCACGGCGCCCGCTGGGCCCCTGACTACGACAAGAAGTGCTCGGTCTGCAGCTGCCAGGTGAGGGTGATGGGAGACCTGGGGGGCAGCGGGCGGCACTGCGGGCACCTTGTAATGGGCTGTGCACTTCACAGAAACGCACAGTCATCTGTGACCCTATCCTGTGCCAGCCGCTCAACTGCACCCACCAGGTGCACCCCGAGGAGCTCTGCTGCCCYGTGTGCGAAGGTACAGGGTGCCCAGCGAGCCAGGCGTGTCCCAYGGGTCCCTCTTGTCCCCGGACATCCATGCTGGGTGTTGCCACAGCCTGGCACGGGGTGCAGGCCCTGGTGGCACCACSTGCTCCCCTCGTCCTTGCAGAGAAGAAGGCCGGGCAGGAGGASCTGAAAGCGGAGCGGGCCCGGGACAGCAGTGAGGGTGAGTGCCGGCGGGCACAGGGGCTGCTCCACCGTSGGGGGTCTGCCCACCTCCTCCTCCTCCTCCTCTTCCTCCTGCCCAGGCTGCTACTTCGATGGTGACAAGACGTGGCGAGGCTCTGGCACCCGCTGGCACCCAGTCGTGCCCCCCTTYGGCCTCATCAAATGTGCCATCTGCACCTGCAAGGTGAGCGCAGGCGCCGCGGCGGCCGAGGAGCCGCTCGGTGCCGCCGGGCGCTCGTCCCGTCCCGGTGCCGCCCGCCGCTGCTCACRCGTCCCCGCCGCGCTCCCCGCAGGGCACCACGGGCGAGGTGCACTGCGAGAAGGTGCAGTGCCCGCGCCTCACCTGCGCCAACCCCGTGCGCGCCAGCCCCTCCGACTGCTGCAAGCAGTGCCCAGGTGTGTGTGCCCAGCCCCTGGTCCGCTCGCCCCATGCCCCGGCTCCCGCTCGCGGTGCCACCGGCCTCTCCCGCAGCCGCCGAGAGGAGCGTCCCCGAGCTGGCCGACGGCATGCAGGCGGACGGGCCCCGCGCCTGCCGCTTCGGGCGCCGCTGGTACCTCAACAACGAGAGCTGGCAYCCCTCCGTGCCGCCCTTCGGAGAGATGAAGTGCATCCTGTGCTGGTGTGTGGTGAGTGTGCCAGGCTGCGGCGGCACCATGCCCACGCCAYGCGTTCCGGGGAGGGCAGCGAATGGAACCCCAGGGTTTTTGCTGCCCCTCGGGCGGTCTCGGCTGGGGTCCGCGCTCCTCAGCCCCCCTTTGGCACCGCAGTCGGGCGAGACGCACTGCCAGCGGCAGGAGTGCCCGCCGGGCGCCTGCGCCAGCCCCGCCGCCAGGGACAGCCCCTGCTGCGCCAAGTGCCGCGGTGAGTGGCCGCGGCCGCGCGCACTGCCGCACGCTGCCCGGGGCGCAGCGCCCACACGGGCGCCCGCTCCCCGCTCTCGCCTGCCCCCGCAGCCCTGGACGCCCCGCTGAGCAGCCAGGAGCAGGTCCGTGACGCCGAGGCCTGGAGCCGCTAAGCCGTGAGCGATGCCCGGGGCCGCGGCAGCCCGCGGCGCCGCCGCCGCGCGCCCCTGCCCTGCTGGCGAGGCACGGGGCGCCCCTCGTGCCCGGGGGCTGCACGGCGCTCACCAGGGCCCCCCGCTCGGCGCGACGCCGGGAACAGGCGCCCACGGCAGCACCCAGCGGGCTGCAATGCCAAGGGGGCCCCGTCTGCCCTCCCCGATGGGCCGGTGGCAGGACCGGGGCACCGTCCCCTCCGAGCCCCCCCGGCCGGCGGGCGCAGCGGGCACCGTGCCCGCCCTGTACATACTGTAAAATCCTTCCCCCCGCCCCGTCTCGCTGCACCCCCCGGCTCAGCTGGACTCGACATGTAATTTATGGTGCCTGGGGCCGGGGGCCCTGATGTATTTATTAAAGACAGAGCTATTGCCCACGCTGGCGCTCCACGTCTCCTTGGGAAGGGCTGCATTCTTCCCGTTTGCTTCCATCTGTGCCAGGGCTTGCGTGCCCTGGCACTGCTGGGGGGGGGGGGCACAGGGGTTGGGGAGGATGTTTATGGGGAAATGGGGTCCTGGCGCTGGCCCTGGGGACCCCAGGCGGGCTGGGCAGGGGGTGCTGCGCTGGGGGCAGCTGTGCCAGTCACGGCCACCCAGCACCTCAGGTGTCCTSGTGCAGCCCCACTGGGCCCGGCCTGGCCAGGCTGGTGGCGGCTGCAGGCGCCACCTCCCCGGGGTGCCCAGAGGAGGCACCTCCCAGGACGTCACTGCACTCAAACTGGGCAGGTGCCAGAGCCACACGGGGCTGTGCTGGAGCAGGGCCAGAGCTGCAGGGGAAGCAAGGCCGGGCTAGAGCGGGATGAAGAGCGGGGTGCAGCGGGCAGCACCAGGCTCTGCTGGGCTCGCCCCGCGCTCCAGCACCCGGACACGGGGCCAGGGGCAGGAGGAGGCCAGGGGCACGTGCTGGCCCCGAGCCGCGGTGCCGAGGGGGCCTCGCCAYGTGCCGGGGGCCAGCGGCTGGGCTCCCGGGCACAGCTGGCAGCGGCCGCGTCCTGGCACCAGGCTCCCCTCCGGAGACGCGCGCCAGCTGCCGGGACCGTGCCAGGAGCGAGGAGGGGACTCCGTGCCCGGCGGAACAATGAGCRCGCGGGCAGCTCATTTGATGGCCTCCTTGCCGCAAACCGGTTCGTGTCCGGCGATGATCCTGCCCAGGCTGCGGGAGGGCARCTCTCAGCCCCCGCTGGCCCTCCTTTCCCACCCTTGGGGGTGCCAACGTCAACCCGGAGGGTGGCACCCGGGCGGCGACAACCAGCCTGGTCTCTGCCGCGCGCAGCCTGCCCAGCAGTGCCACGGCACCATCCTCATCGCCAGCGTGCCATGGGGCGCCCCACGCAGCAGAGGGACCGCGGGGCTGCCCGGCACCCCTGAGCCTGCCACGGGGGCTGCCCGGAGCTGCGGCCGCCGGGCCATGCCGGAGCGCCCTGCCCCGGCATCTCAGCGGCCCGCGCGCCCCTCCGCACGGCGCTGAGACGCGGCCGCCCGCAGCGAGCGGGCACCGACCGAGCCCCATCGGCCCGGCACGCATAGGCAACGGGCACTGCCAGGGTAAGGACGAGCTCCCCGCCAGCTTTCGGGTACGTCCAGCTCCCCTGTCGCCACCCTCTGCAGCCCGCGGAGATCCCTGGGCTCCCCGTGCACCCTGAGTGGCATCGCCTCAAGGGCACCCTCTTCCCAAACCACCCAGCCCCACAGCCTGCACCCCGCCGGGCATGGCCAGGAGCCTGGGCAGTTTTCTCCACTCAGGCTCTGCTGCCCAAATCCTGCTCAGGAGCAACCAGGGATTGGGCAGAGCAGGGATCAGCAGGCAGCGGCAGCCCCGTGCCAGGTCACTCGTACCCCTGGGGAGAGGGAACCCGTCCCCACAAGGAGCTGTTCCCAAGGTCCTCGAGGTCACCCAGCTCTGGGCTTTACCCTCCTTTCCTGTGTTGTCAATGGGTCCGCTCCAAGCTGCCGGCACAGAGAGCACGGTCCCACCATGAGGGGGACCGGAGGTGCCAAATGTCCCCAGGCAGCTCTTTCCAGGACAGTGCCGCTCCCTCCCAGCACCCCTGCCGGGACCCTTTCCCTGGTCCTGGCCCCTCGGCAGTGCAATTGCTCCCTGTACCCCATGCCTGGTTCCCCTTGGCGGGGCAGGGGACCCCCAAGCCCGGCACCCCACACCCCATTCCCCATGCCGGGCAGTGGGTGCAGGTGCCAGCACCAGCMGCGGTTGCTCTGGGCAGTCGGTACCGCCAGCAGTGGGTGCCAGCGTTGTGGGCCAGGGCTGCAGGTGGGGGCACCGGTTCCAGCAGGTAGTGGGTGCTGCTGGTGGCAGGAGCTGGTGCCAGTGCCAGTGGGGATGCTGCTGGCAGAGGATACCGGTGCCGGGGGTGGGTACCGGTGGCGGGAGCCAGTGCCAGATGCCGGCTGCTGCGGGTGCTGCTGCCGGGTACCGGTGCTGGGTGCC